GAGAGCAGGATGCAGTGATGCAGGAACCAGCAGGTTCACCAAGAATGTCACCAACACACAGTCTGGGACAGCTGTATCCACCGCACTATGCAGGAAGTTGGGGCCTACGAAAGAGAACCACATGGAGATGAAGAGATGGATCCAGAGCTGTTTCCAGATGAGATACTGGAGGAGCAGTACTTGGGCAGCTATGGAGGAGATGAAGGTGATGATCCTCCAGAGGTTTCTGCAGAGGAGCTTGAAGGCTTGGACAAGGCAGCACGGGACACGGAGATTGAGCGAATGATCAAGATGCCGGTCATGATTGAAACAGACCAAGCAGAAGTACAACAAACTGAAGGCTACATCATAAGCACCAAGGTGGTACTGTGCTGGAAACATCGTGTCGAGCAAGGAGGGTGGTTCAGGCGTGCGAGATTGGTAGCAAGGCAGTTCAGAAACAGTATAGAACTAGATGCCACGTTCGCTCCCACATCCATCATGGCAATACCAAAATTGCTTATCCACTATATGCTCAACGTCAGAAGGGAGTTTGTGGTGGTCACGCTGGACATCAAAGTTGCCTTCCTCATGGCACAACAGCCGCTTACTGAAAATGCCTATGTCCAAGTGTATTCAAACTCTTGAGATGCCTACCAGGACAACGAACGGCAGCATCACAATGGTTCCAGCTGTTTGCATCAGCCTGTCGAGAGCATGGACTTGAGCAGGATCCCATGCAACCTACACTGATGTTCATCATGAGGCACCTCATCTACCTCACGGTGCACGTTGATGATGTGTTCATTGTTGGAAGAGAAGATAAAGTGAGGGACCTCGTGCGCTACTTCAAGGAGGAGAAACAATGGAATGTTGAAGAGAAGGGACCTTTCAGCCACGGGGACAAGTTCTTCTACTTGAAAAGGCAGTTCAACCTTGGCCGAACACATTGTGACATCAGGTGCGACAGGAAGCAGTATGACAGCTTTGAGAAAGACATGGACATCTACGTCAAAGTCTACAGGAAGACACCACTGGATGCCAACTTCGGGAAGAAGGATGACTCAGAGCTGTTGGAAGGCAGTGAAGTCACAAAGTATAGAAGCATTGTGGGAAGGCTGATGTACATGGCAGGGGAGCGACCAGATGCACAATATGCAATTCAGTGTCTGGCAAGATACATGGCCAAGCCAACAAAGCAAGCTCTCCGAAATGCCTGGCATACCTGCTCCTACATGTTCGGTACAAGTGGCTATGGTGTTCGACTGGAAGAAAGGAAGAAGGGTCAGTCGATGATGGACTTCAGAGATGGAGCTGAAGTGGAGGATGCTGATGAGCACTTGCTGGAGATTGCGACGGACTCGGACCACGCAGGGAACAAGAATGACAGAAAGTCCACAACCTCCATGCAGCTGTATCTGGATGGCAACCTGATCGACAGCAAAGTGAGAAGCCAAAAGGCCATTGCCCTATCCTCAGGAGAGAGTGAGTTCATGGCCCTAGTCGCAGGATGTTCAGAAGGAATGCTCCTCAGACACCTGTGGAATCAAATTACAGGCGGCGCGCGCAAGACCAAAGCCAGGTCAGACAGCTCAGCGGCTCGAGGCATGACGCAAAGGCAGGGCATTGGGCGAGTGCGTCACATGGATGCGGCAATGCTGTGGATCCAACAGAAGGAAGGGGACAAGACCATCCAGGTGAGTCCCGTTCCAACTGACCGGAACAGTGCAGACATCGGCGCCAAGAACCTTCCGAAGAAGAGGCTTCGAGGGCTTCTCTACATGATGGGCGTGATTGACGCCGTGGGTGACCGCGTGGGTGAAGAGGAGTTCCATGAGATTGAGAAGGAGTACCAGATGAAGATGAGCCTGAACAAGTTCAACAAGAGCAAGGACTTGAGGATTGGCCTGTTAATGCTTATGGCCAACCTTGGCAAAGCAAGTGGAGCACCAGCTGAGAATGGACACACGAATGAGAACAAGATGGATTTCGGCTGGTGGGCACTTCGCCTATGTGCATGCATTGGGGCCTTGAGCCTATGCACTTGGCTGCGAAACTACATGAGCGCTCTGTTTAAGAGCATTGGGGCCTTCATGCAGGACCTCGCGAAGGCCATGACCCGAGTGAAGAAGATCTACATGAGTGTGAGTGTAGAAGTGAAGGATAATGGAACTCAAGCCTCACAGTGGCTTGATGCGCATGCCTGTGCTCGATGTACAGAAAGGATCCAAAGCTTGGAGTATGAATGCTTCTCCAAGGAAACGTATATAGATGAACTTGAAGCACAAGTAGATCGAATGAAAGAAAGCTTGGAAGATTTTTTTGAGAGAGCGAGAAATCGCTGAGAAACGTAGCGCCAAGCTCGAAGATCGAATGCGCCAGCTCCGAATGACAACAGCTGGATAAGTACTGCACTTCTCGACCAGTTGCCCGCATTTTGCGAAGGCGCAGAGAGTGCGTCAGTGCCACATGTCTAAGGAGGAGTGATGGAATATAGGCAAACGAGCATGGACACTTAGTCAGACATGTAAGGCACATGTTCATGTACTGGCCAACTAGGCCCAAGTTCGCGAGTGAAAAGTCGCGCTCCGTGCTTTTCAATAATGTTAAAGTCCTTTGAGGATCCCATGACGGCGCGAGCACCGTGCACTCTGTAGTCCTTTGTGTTCTCAATCTGTGTCGAAATGCCTTCTTGGCCTGGTTTCTTCATCAGCGTCATCCTCTTGCTCCATTTCTCGTTGATCATCCCTTCAGGATTGAGGTATTTGTCAGCTGTTGCATCTGCGTACGCTGCTACTCCATTTGGAAGGCGGTGCCAACCTGGGCCCTTGGAGGTGTTCGTCAACTCTTTGCTCAAGTATCCCTCAAGCACGAACACTCTCTTGGCTGGCGTGTAGTGCAAGCCCTCATGGCTTGTGACATCATCTTTACTCGCCTCTTCTTCTCCTCGATCTTTGCGCCTTGGTCTATTTCCCAATCTCCATTGTTCACAATCATGCCTCTGTTTCACTTCATCTGCATCATCTTCTTTGCTGATTGAGACCATTTCAAGTCTGGCCTTCGTGTGAATGCTGTGATTCTCGAGGTGCAAAGGGATCATCGTCCCTCGTTGTCTGATGAGGGACAGCGGCCTGTTCTTCATGTACGAAAACAGTATGCTGTAGAACTTGATGCTCAATGCTTTTGTGTCATCGTCCATTGTGTCCATATCATATGCACTGTTTGGTTTCTTGCTGATCGTTTCCAGCAACTCAGCTGTCTTTGGATCTACACTCTTCATGAACTGCATGAGTGAGTTTCTCATCGCAAATTGGGCTTGAAGATCTCGGGCGTCTTGAAGTGTTTGCTCCACTGCTGATTCTGCTGAACCTGAACCAGCTGCTGCAAGGACCTTTGTAGTCCAACTAGGGCTTCTGTCGGCATCTCGAAAGTCACGAAAGTGATTGTCTTCGACTTTTCCTTCCAAAAGACTTCCACTCCCTTCTTCAAACAAATACTTGTCTCCCCCAACTCTCAACACTCGAAACTTTCGCTTCGATTCCTCTTCGAAGGTTGTGGGCCTGTACCGTTCGATTGGCAACTCCCTCCATTTACGGGGGACCTGGACTTCTATACCTCGTAGGACTCTTCTCCGAAACAGAATTCTGGGTTGCTGCTTTTCTTTCTGCCTCACGAACCGTAGGGAGACCTCTCTATCACCCCAACCGACCTCGTAGGCCAGGTACTTTCGTACCTTGAATTGAACTTCTCTGCTGGCTGCGGCTTCCTGCAGTGCCTTTGAAACTCTGTTGCAAGACCAATGGGTGCCGTGACAAACCCCAAAGTCAGCAAGCAGGCTCAGCAGGAACCCTAGTCTGCGCGTCCTGCTCGATCTCGCCCTCCTTGTACTCGATGTCGTCCACCTAGCAGGCCCCTGTCGGGGCTCCGAAGCTTGCGCGCCTATTGAGCTGCAAAATGAGCCTTCGGTATCATGTACATTCTTATGTGCACATCATGCAAGTAAGTATATAATTCATACAGTCAGTCAGTCAATCAGTCAGTCAGTCAGTCAGTCAGTCTGTCAGTCTGTCAGTCAGTCAGTCAGTCTGTCTGTCTGTCTGTCTCTCTGTCTCTCTGTCTCTCTCTCTCTCTGTCTGTCTGTCTGTCTTTGTCTGTCTGTCTTTGTCTGTCTGTCTTTGTCT